GTCGCCGTGTTGGCAGGAGGGAGTAGGCGCGCACAGCAACGAGGAACACGCGCAACCAGCAGCCGCGGCGACGACAAGAGGAGCACAACCCGCACCAAAAAAAAAACAACAACAACAACAGGAAAAGGGAGAAGCAGATGGCGTGGCACGCGACAGGTGCAATTGGCAATAACAATAATAATAATAAAAACAAAAAAAAACATGAAACGAAAAGGCGAATTAAACATCAGCAGCCGCGGCAACACTACAAGCAGCACAGGAGAGACAAAAACCAAACAACAGCCGTAAGGAAACTTAACAGCAAAAGGGAAATAGAGGAAACTACAGGCACGAGCAAAGAAGAAAACGAAAACACACACACACAATAACAAAAAAGATACCCTCTTGTATTCATGTGTGTCCATCGCTGTTTACATTTTCCCCTTCCGGTCTCTGCTGAGTGTTTCGGTCTGCCATCTCCCCATCTTTGTTTCTCGTTCCTAGTGGTTGTGCAATGCCTCTCTCCTTCTCTCTCTCTCTCTCCACCCGGTCCGCGCTCAGGCGAGGATGTCGAGCAACGTGTCGAGCGCCTTAATGTAGCCGACGTCGTGCTCCTGCGCCGCCTCGGGGTCGCCGCCGAGCAGCAACTCGTCGCGCTCGTACGTGAAGGCGAAGTCGACCATCACGACCCGCGCCGACAGCAGCGGGCGGTCCGCGTCGTACACGAGCAACAGCGACGACGTGAAGAAGCGGAACACACTCTGCTTTGTGAAGGCACCGCGCAGTCGAAGCAGCTGCCGGCGGAAGTGCCGCCGCAGCCGCGCGCTGTTCTGCAGGAAGTGGCGCACCGTGTCGCGCAGCTCCGCCAGCGTGAGGTGGCGGCCGGCGATCTTCGACCGCGTCTCGTACTGGTGCGTGTCGGCGCACCACCGCCTCATCCCCGCGAGGCGCACGCCGTACTGCAGTGACGTCGACAGCGCCGCCTTGCGCTCCTTGCTGCGCAGCTTCGCCTCGCTCGGGTTGAGACCGTACTGCCGGCTGCCCATCTTGATGTCCAGCACACACGGGTGTGCAAAGCCGCCGCACAAGTCCTCCAGCACAATCAGCTGCCGCACACGACGCTCGCCGCTGTTTCTATTGTTATTCCTACTCTCGTACGGCCTCATGGTGGCAGCAAGCGCGGGGATCTCGCCGTACGCCGATGCTCCATTGCACGACGTGCTGAGCGGCGTGCCGCGCTGGTCGATCCCGTCGAGCACATCATCACTGGAGACGCACATGCGTCGCAGGCCGTAGTAGCGCGGGATGAACGGTACGAGCTGGAGCAGCACAGCCCATCGCTGCTCATCAGGTGTCGGCGCCACCGCCGCTGTAGTCGCGTTCGGGTCCACTACCTCACCGATATCCTTAAGAGGGGTCACATCCCCACTGCTGCTGCTGCTGGCGCTGCCACCACCACCACCATCACCTTCTCTTCTACACAAGTGCCACCGTTCCTGTTGCTGTTTCTGCTGTGGCTTGTCACCGTGCTTCGCATGGCTCTTTTTCCTACGCCTTTCAGTGTTGCTGCTACTATCTCCGCCGCTTTCGTCCGTGCCATCCTCGTCATCGGAGGGGTCCAGCGTGGCGAGAAGCCCCGGGTGGTGCTGTAGGTACTCCTGCACGGGCCGCACCACCTCATAAAAGCGTTCCTCACGCCGCGAGCACGATTCCTTCATGAAGAGACCATCTTGCAGGATAGTCATGTGGTGGCCGCCAACCGACTGACGCTGGCCGTTATTGGCAACACGTGACGTGACGCCAACAGGCGCTACTGCTGCTACTGCTACTCCTTCCTTATGACCGCCACTGCACGACAGAGCAGGCACCGTCGCTGGGCGATTCTGCAGCAGACGCCGCCGCCACCCAGTGCCGTGGTCCGAGGCCCGCTCGCCATCCGGGAGCGAGTAGCTCACCCCCTTGCTACTGGTGCTGCTATTCCGATACACCACCAGCTGCCGCAGTCGCTCCGCGGTGGCGCTAAGGCTGTCGCTGTTGCACCGCGGCAGCGGGTGGGAGTCGATGGAAGGTCCGTCATCTACTAACTCTTCGCGTGAGGACCAAATATCCTTGTCGCGAGTGGCCAGGCGCCACTGCGGGGACATCACTGTGGTGCTGTCAGAGGCCCTGTGACCGCTGCTCATCTTTCTGCTGCACGCCTCGTCGTTGTCGTCGCAGTAGTAGTCCTCTTGATCGGTCATCGTATCACGGTCCCCATGTGTCTGTCTGTTTACATAAGCGCAGTCCTTCACGTCTTCTTCAGGCAACGGTAGAATGCTCTTGCTGTTGCTGGTGCTACTACCGACAGGGCCTTGGCGCGGCGTCTGCTCGGCAGAGCAATTGTAGCCGTCGTCGTCGTCTGCTTCTGCAGTTAGCGGCCCCTCCGTTGCAGGCGAGGTGACGAACGGCGACACAATTCCCCCAGCAGAGGCGGAAGCCTCTACTACCACCACTACTGGTATTGCTTCTTCAATAGCGGACTGCTTGGGTTCTGGCTGCATAGCGCCTACGCCCCTTAGGCCACAGCGCCGCCTTGATTTCTTGTTCCTCTTCTTCGTGTGGTTTCAAGCACACACACAACACAGAGAGATTTGAGAGACAGGTAGAACTTACCCACGTCTTCTCAAAAATGAAAATCAAAACAAAAAAAAAGAACCTTCTTTACCCCCCACACCACTGCAGTACACCACACACAATACAATCCCCGCAAATGCGGAGGTAAAAGCCCAGGGGGTATGACCCTCCTTTCGAACAGCACTAACAGCTTATGCACACCTCCCTTCTGCCCCCACTTCTGTCACCTGCTGCTGCTTTGTCCGCGTTGGTTTTCTTCGTCTCCGTGGTGGCTCCTTGCACAAGCCAACGCCAGCCAAACCACACACACACAGAGGCAAAGGCACTGTCTTGGACCGCGCCAATTTCCCCGTGCCTCACCCTTTTGCTTCTCTTCCTTCTCCACCCACACGTATCACCGCTCGCCCTACAACACAATGCGCAGCAGCCAACCACTTGCCTCTTGGCCGCCGGGAAGACTGCTTGCAGGTGCGCAACGAAGTTATGGGCCTTTCAATTTTTTTTTTCCCCCACAACTCCTTCTTCGCCACAAACACACACCTTCTCTCTCCCTCCGCCTCTTTCCCTTGCTCCCTCCACTGCCAGAAGCAACAAGTAACGGAGCACGCGCAGAGACACACGGAAGACTCACCCGATTGCGCAACAGAGCGAGGCCTTCGGTGAGTGACTGGTGGGCCGAGGCGCCACAGGCAAGCAACAGTTGAGGGGCGAACACGCGAAGAAGAACGCACAGTAGAGAAAGCGAAACCCAAGGCGAAAACGAGGCTGATGCGAACAATCGGAGAAAGAAAAAGCAAGTTGTAGTGAAGGGGGCACCCGATATCGATGGATATTGCGTAGACGCCTTCACTTAATCTTAACTTCCCCCCTCTTTGCCTCTTTCTCTGCCTTCAGAGACTAACAAATACGTTTTTCTCTCTCACACACACACAGAGGGAGAGAGACGCTTGATCGCTTTTCTCAACACACCACACGGCGGCAGCGAAAACAAATCCTTCCTGAGTATTTGTGTTTTTATTTATTTATATACTCTGACGTGTATATAAATAAAAAAATATGAACTTCACTTCCTCTCCTATAGGCTTGTGGTTTACTTCGGGCTGCTCTTGCTGTTACTGGTGTCGCGTAGCACCGAAGCAGAGCGTGGGGCAGAAGAAAGGACGAACTGTGTGTCGGACTTCCCTCTGCTTCCCAACCTCACATAAACTTACAGCACACACCACAAGGACCAACGCGGAGGAATCGATAACGAAGAACAAAAAGAAAAAAAGGGAGTGAGGAAAGGGCATTGTGATACGGCGCACCAGGCAGGAGATGGAGCAAGACGCATCATTATCATAGCACATAGCACAGACGCACTTACAAGAGCACCAGACGAGGAAACACTCACCACGCACACACACACACACACACACACACACACACACACACACAACAAAAAAAAACAGAAATAGTGGAAGGGGTAAAGAACATCACTTTGCGTATAAACCCCACAGACACCGTCAGCGGCAGCAGAAGAAGCAGCCGATTGGAGTCTACATGAAGAAAGGCTACTTCTGTAACAATCCGCTAATTGTATTGTCTTTTTTTTCTTTGCTTTTGGAGGAGGACTATTTGCTCCTCGTCTCAGGCTGCTCCAGGCCGGGCGGCCTATCCTTCACGGATGTGGAGACACATACAGCTTCCGCCCCCCACCCACAGAAGCCTGCACAACCAAAGCTGCAAGAAAACAAGCATGTTACACACGTTCCAAAGACCACACAGAAAGTCTACCCGAATTCCAATACAATCCTGACTATACAACAAAAAAAAGGCTCCAGGCCTGAGGACTGAAACCGCCATCCGCTTCATTTTGCCTTCGCCGCTGGTGTCGTCATTGCAGTTGCTAGTCGAGGTGAGGCAGGACGCCCGTGGTGGCGCAGCCGCCGCTTCTGCCCAGGGGGGCTTTGCGGTTCCGTCGGTGCTGCTGCTGCTGCTGCGCCGCTCGTCTCCTTCGGTGGGCGGAAGTCGGGGCTCGCGACGCGGAGATTGCAGAGCGGGTGCATCTCGTGGTAGCGCGACTGCAGCGGCAGTTCACGGAAGATGCTCGCGTGGCGGAGCAGCGGCACCCGCTCCTTCTCACTGTATGAATGTGTCTCCGCGACGTCGTCGACCAAGCGCTGGAAGGACGCTGTCAGCAGCGTCACGCGCAGCCGCTGCGCCGCGTCTCCCGCGGTCGTCGTCGCATCAGACGCCTCACTCCCCTTGGCCGCCGCCGACCCCTCCGCAGCGACAGGGGGCAGCCGCGGTGTTGATGTCTCTGTTGATGTCAACTTCTCGTTGGTGGTGTCGTCCCGCACGAAGCGGTCTGTCGTGGCGGGAGTTTCGCCCGCCAACGACGCCCACGTGGGCGCTGTGGCGTCCGGTGACGGCGATCGCGCCGATGGCAACTCGATTCCGGTAGCAGCAGCCTGCGTCACAGTGTCGGTGACATTCGACGGCTGCGGGCCATCTGCGTCCAAGCACGGAACCAGCAACGACGGCGGGCCGCTGCTGCGGTCGTCCTGTAAGACTTCCTCTAGCCACCCGCGCTGCACACCCCACGTCTTGGGACGCAGGTGATGCAGCTGCGGCACGGCGGGCGGTCCGCCCTCGCCGCTGTGCTGCTTCTCTACCAAAACACCACGCGGCATTGATTGCTCCTGCTGCTGCAGAAGGGGCAGGGCGTGCTCCAGTGCGTAGCGCCGAACTCCTGGTGCGTCGCTGCCCACGCGCCTCTGCTCCACTGCCTCTGGTGCTGCCTCGTACGACGGGCGCGCAAATTCGAGCTCCTTGCCTTTTATGAAGCGCCAGCGGTGGCGTAGTGTTGCACACGGCTCCTCCCACACCGACATCGCATCCTCCTTGCGTTGCTGCACATACGGAAGCGGAGGCACTGGGGCCGCCTCAACGGCAATGCGAAGCGTGAAGTACCTGGCAGTGGTAGGGCTTTGGACACTGTAGGGGCGCGTCTGCTGCACGGGCCGCCCGCTCGACGAGTGCAGCGGGGGCCGCGTTGAGGATGTGTTTGACCTCAATGATTGATCCTCCATTTCTCTGCACGCTTCATCAAACTGCATATACACACGCACACGCAGGTGCGATGCAGGAGAGAATGAAACAGGGACAAATAGAATCAGATTACCATCAGAACCGAATTTAATCAATCAATACACAAATAATCCAGGGCGAGAGGTGAGGGAATGTGTACGTGTATCTATGTGTGCGTAAATGGGGCAACGTAGAACGCCCGTATGCAAAACATATTTGATCGTGTCTACCACAACCGACACGAGACGCAGCTACATGAGAATGAATGAAAAAAGGCCGTGGAAGCCGCAAGCTCGGCCGAGCATGAGAGTAACTGCATTGGAATGCAGAATCGACCAAAACTAACGCAAAAGAAAACGCACATATAAACGGATACACAAAATGATACCCCACTGATGACCTTAGAAACTCCTCTGCCCCCCCCACACTCAAAACAATGATGACCAAACATGGTGCTTGTGGACTCCGTCTGAATATCAATCCAAAGGCCACACAACCTGAACGGGCAGCAGAGAAAGCGCAGCGCTACGGCGACATGGTCCCCCCAATGCCGGTAAAGCCATGCTCCGACAAAACAAGCACCAAGAAGAAACCTGGTACTGAGTCGGGTATCAGTGGGATGCTCTTCACAGCGTGGGGGGGGNATTATAACGCCAAACAACACACACGACATCGGATACATGTATAATGAATATTGTACACCGCTCTCACAACGCCACAGGAAGCACACCACCCCGCACAGGAAACAGACGCCTCACCCCGTGCAGTTGAGTCAGCACCACAAAGAATACTTTTGTGTTGGACAGGAAAACAAAAAGCAAAGATAGCAGTCAGCACAAAATCACCGGCACGCCCGGCCGTTCAAGACCCTTAGGGTGTTGACAGCATATGTGTCGGAGAGAAGTACTACAGTAGGTTGCTAAGTCCCACACACCGAAGCTTCTTCGTGTCCCGCAACGTCATTGCCTCCGGAATGAGGTTGATCATGATATTCGGCACCCGCTCCACAATGCGGTCGGATCCCTCGGCGTTTTGGTGCCGTGCCAACGCCACCGTCGCCTTGAGCGGCACGGGCGCGCTGCAGCTGAGGGAGTCCGCAGAGTGTACGACGAAATCTACTCTGTCGTCAATGACTCCCGTAATGATCGCCGGCCCAAACGCATTAAATGCCTCGCAGAGAAATCAGACTGTTGACCCGCTTGTCATGTGATCGAAGGCGCACACGCACAGTTTATGGCCTTCGTCCGCGGGGGGCTGCTGTGCATTGCGTTGCAAACAGCTCCCTTGGTGGACGCTTCTTTTGCCATCGTGTGCCCCATTGAAATACACCCACCGTGCGGTACTTCTGTTATCTTGCGTGATAACGACGCGGACGCGGGCGCGGACAGCGGCACCTGCCGCTGTTGCCATTTTGGTTTTGACACCAGGGCCCTCCACAGTGGCGGTTTCCACTTCCGCAGGCCGCCTCAAGCAGCTCGCTGCTGCTGCTGCTGCAGCACCACCAGCACCCCACAACACTGTGGAGAATCTTCTGTTTCTGTCAGCGTCGAATGTCTCCGCCCAGCTGCGCAGCCAGTGGCAGCAGGTGACGGCGGCACCGCAGAGGAGCCTGGCCCGTATTCGCCACGCTTCTGCGTCATTACCAGAGGCATGACGTCAAGACGCGTATCGGTTGCAACTTGGTCGTGCAGCGAAACTGATTGCTATCGTCTTTCCAGCATCCGTTTCGCCGCGTCCCTGTTATTTTCGGTGCAAACACACAAACAGGCATACATATATCTATACACACAGACACAGACACAGACATATATATATATATAAATACATTTATTTAAGTATTAATATATAGGACTGCAAGAGAACGTGCGGGTGCGAATCACAATTTTCGCAAAGTTTCCCGCTGCTCTCCCCTACACCACTCCACGCAAACCGACAAACCGCCCAACGGCACAAGACGTGAGGGAAACCAAAAAAGAACAAAAGTTGAGATCAAACACATAGAAACCATCAGCGACACCTGCAGTACTTCAAGATGGGAGGCCCCATCACCAGACCCGCCCTTCTTGGGTGCAACAAGTGCTCCATTTTTAGTTGTTTTTTTTTTGTTTTAAAAAAACGCCTTATTCTTCGTTCCTGTGCATTTATTTGCGCGCCTTTATCGCGGAAGAAAAGTTTACGGCGCCGAAGCACTCAGGCGACGAAAAGAACAAAAAAACATTGTGCCTGAAACACACACACACACACACA